CTCCCGAGCTTCCTATGCTAAAGGAGTTCATGGTTGTTTGTTTGTTTTCTATATTTGATCATGATATGAGTATCCTGATTTCTCCGTGTGTGTATAAACAGCATATTCCAAATACTGCTATAACCGGGATATGGCTAATAACCAGGATACTGATATGCATGTAAACACACTCACTGATATCAAAGCCCCACCACAAGCTGGAAGCAACTACTTCACCTACAAGCTCCACCACGCTATTATTTTATTGGCAACTGGATGTGGAGCCACAGATTCTCCGCATGATTGCAATAGGACATATAAACCCCGTCAAAAGACGAGAACCTTCATCATGTTAGAGCACCACACTTAAACTGAACTTTCAGATGACAATAACACAAATGGACAATAACACGCTCTACACACTATGTGACGCGTGCTTTAAATTTATCAAATCAGAGCGAAGTTGTCGGACAGCTGAACTACTGAACAAAGTTCTGCTTAGCTGAGGTGTTGAGCACAAGCTGCAAGAACTACCAAACAGGAGCTGGCCAAACAAAATGACGTCATTTTGTTTGGCCCGCCCTGGGTGCAAGAACACAGTCCTTATGTTCTTATGAAGTATGAATAGGCCTTTAGTCTTGCATATAAAATTTTACTTCTCTATAAAAATGTAATGTCTTGTATTGTTGTATACCAGAACTATACTGACTATTCACTGATATATCCCAATGTCTGCTTCAGAGTATTCTTAAATGTGGTTTTATGAAGAGAGAATAAGAATACATAAAGATATAAGGTTGTCTCTGCTTGTCCTCTGTGTTGTTTATCTGCAAATTGATTTTAAATGTAGCATTGGCTTTGACGTCATGTGAAGGGCTCCAGTGTAATTAGTCAACACATATCCATAAGTGGAATGCCCAATTAAGTGTCTTTGAGTCTTTTACTCTCTCAGTGGAACCAACATGAGTCACTCCACAGACATCAAGGAAACCGGTTCATTTAGCATTGCATGGTCATTAAAATTTGAATGGGAAAACTAAAAGAAATCTAAAATTATATGGTAAATACTCAGCCCTTTTAATCAGCATAACAATAGAGTTCATCTGTAAATAACCACATTTTCTGTCAATAGAAAACCAACTAAAATATAGCTTTGTGCTAAAATAAAAAAAAATAAAAAAGTTCTTTATTCCAGAATAAATGAATTATGCATGCATCATTATGTTCAATATCCCTTTTTACTGCCACTACGTAATTATAACTTTAATGTCCTGAATTTATTACTAATGCAGTAGTTTCTTTTGATCTAAAAGCACTAATTTGTATGTATACAAAGAAAACGGCAATGTTCATTATTAAATTAATTCATTCACTGGCTTCTGAAGGTTAGAGGTTTAGAAACAGATATACATGAAAATTTGTTGAATACAGCTGCAAATATTGGTCTAAGGAAAGACAAAAGAATTATGTGAATAGCTTGACAGCGACAGTTTAAAAGAGGTAGGAAATGCAGTCTTGCTTGTTCAAATAAAAATAAGATGAAAGACAATTGTTGCATAAGGACATCAGACAGTTTTATTACATCATCTTACTTGAATACATTTTGTAATTGTATTGCACTTTGCTCTATACTTTCACTGGTGTGACTACTGACGATCCATGTGTTACATTTTAAAGTCACTATTGGCAACAGAAATGTCCAGTATGGAGCTTTATAGTGATTCGTAGGTGAGGGGGAACATCTTGTACCCACATCTAATTTTTGTCCTCCATTTTTGTTCTCTTTATGACACCCAGTATTAAAGCATTTTTACTAATCATGGTATCAGTTTAACCTAATCATTTTTCTTTTTGAGAGAGGGGTCAAAGAGGCTATATTTGAAAAGAAAGACAGTCCATCTCAGAACAGTAATTGGGTCCAAGGTACCATTTGTCACCCATTTACAATACCATCCTCAGATGATCAGGTGACTGTTCACACCTAAGGGTAGTTCAATATCATATAACCAATATCATTTACTCCTTACAGTAAACAACTAGGGTGTGTTAGTGTAGTTAGCTCCTCCCAAGTAAAAGGCAGAGACTTAGAAGCATGCTATCAAAACTGAAGAAGCCTTTTGGATGAGTGGTGAAACATACTCACTCAAAAATCTTTGTCCAGTTGACTGAATTAAACTGGGATTGTAGGACACTAGTATTTTGAAGAAGACTTCCAATAACTTTACTGTGGAAATAGTAGGGTTTGAGATTTAATTCTGTAATTGTTCATGAGTAGCTTCGAGTACAAAGGTTTTAATCCTGTTGATCTGTCCAAACTTTAGAGACTCTTTGCAGGTCTTTGAAAACTACATTTTAAACATTTGTCACTACTTTTTTGTTACTGAAGGTCATTCACGTTTTATCAATTTGAGGACTCTGAATACAAACCCTGGCTGAAATTTCAAACAAATAAAATGCCACAGACTTTTGGATGGCGTTTGCGTTGCCAGATGTGAGCTCCGTGCGTCCCCCGTTCCCTGTTGGTATTTAGTGATGGCGTGTGCTCTGAGCCCCGGTTCCCTGTGTGCCAGTGTAAATACGCCAGACCTCCTCCGGGAGTGACTCCATAAAACAGTGTAGTGAGAACAGGGCTGAGGCTGCCAGAGGCTACAGCTAAACCACACACTGCAAAGTTCCAATATCCTCCATATCTGTGTTTATCTGCCACAGAAGACTGCAGCTATCAAATGGACTATAAAAACAGTATAGAAGAAAAATTTCAAGAGCTCTGTAGATGGAGATAGGAGATTTCCTGTCCATTTTGGCTTGGCAGTAATAAGATGGATTAACATCTTTATTATTTATCTATTCCTGGAACTAGTTGTGCTTGGAAAACACAATTTTTTAAGATAAAGAGCTAATTTGGGAATCATTTTCAAGAGTAAATGGAAGCATAAGCCTCTCCCACAATAGTTATCCTCTCACACAATGGTTCACATTATTATTATTTTTTCTTTTAATAACCTCATGGCTTGTGAGTTATTATTGGCTCTTAAATTTTAGAACAAATTACCTGGTTAGAGTTTAAAATGAATTGCTTTTACCTAGGCTGGTGACAGTATTTCAGATTTTTTTCCCAGTTAACTTTTTATTTCAAATCATAAAGAACAAAATATACAAAAAGTTTATTAGCACAAGTTTTCAAATGTGTCTTGTTTGCTTTCTTGAAACTTTGGCTTTGCATCAAACAGAGAAATTGTCAATTTAAATAAAAATGAACTCTTTTTATCGCCACAATGTGAAATTTCCAATAAAATATATAGTTTATCTCATGCACTTTTGCAAAGTTTGTTTTCCCAGGTAATGGTGTACTTTATTGTGCATGTAGGGAAAGTTGTGCTCTGCATTTGGCCCATCCTTCAATGTCACTGGGGCAACCAGTAAGGAACAGTGGGTGCCCCAGTGCATGGGAACCCACCTCCAGATCTTGGCCTAGACTTGGTTGGCTGGAGGATTTCACCCATAGTGCTTGATGCATGAACATGACACAAACGTCATGATAGTATTTGCCACATTTTTTTTGCGTTTAAACAATATTCATATGTATACATAGACACTGGAGACAAAGTGGGTAAAATGTTTTGCCCAAGAACACAACAACAATATGCACTGGCTGGAGATGGGATTAAATCCTCAACCTTCAGATGGCGCCACTGTGCCATAGCCACCTAGCTTGTTCAAATTTCTTACAGTACTGTCCTGGCAAAAATATTTAGTTTAATTTCTTACCATTTATATGTGTCCTCACTTCTGGGAGATTATGGGCTGTATATGCTCCAGAATGGTTCTGTACTTATTATTCACGGGTCATGATCAGAGATGCTTTAACTGGTAAAATGTTGTGCCATTTAAAGTAATGGCAGCTGCTGTCTTGGACTTGACCCAGCACGTCAGCGCGCTTGAATTCACTCCCAAATATGCTTTTCCTCTCGGGGTCGTAGCCTCTCGTGATGTGGCCCGCATGACTAATTCCATTAAAGGAGGAACACGCATCTCACTTTTCTTTCCTGCATTTGCATAATTTTGTTTGGCAACTTGGAAAAGGGCCATTAACAGCTATAAAGGGAGCATTGTAAAGGATAGACTGGGGGTGGGTTGATTGTTTATTTCAACATCTTCAGAACCATCAGGAGCCATTCAGTCATTCAAATCCGTGTGGTTGGCTTGTGATGCTACCATTAGTCGCTGATAAGAAAACGGCGTTGCACTGCCTTCTTCTTAATCTGTGACGGACACGTTCATCCGATCAATAGTCTTTTACTTTTTTTGTTCCGAAGACAAGATTGATTGCCATGACTCGCCGCGTGCTCTGTCCCTGCTCCTCCTTCCTTTCCTCATTATGGTTTCAATTAGGTGATCTCCTGGGACGCAATGAGCAGAGAGGTGTTACAAAGTGTTTGGTGACCCCGTGCGAATCACATCTAACTGCGGATGTTTGGGGCACCACCTCTGACACAGACTTCACTGGAGCCACAAGTGAAGCAGGCGTCCAAACAAGTGGATTAGAGGGAGGAGCGGAGGGAGCAGCGGGGGAAGTTCTCCTCTCGCCAGTCAAGAGGAAATAATGACAATGCTACCTTCTCATGAATTATTAAGCAGCTTGTGGCTATTTTGGTCCATCTAAAAAGCATTATTTGATGGTCGGCGCGAGGCTGCGTGGTTGTGTTTCTGACAGCTGTATTACGGCTGATATAAGCGGAGTATTGAGCTGATCAGGAGAGAGACAAGCAGAGCAGCAGCAGCACACAGCGCTCGAGCCAGAGCCAGAGCACAGTATCAGTCAGAGCGCAGGCAGCAGCGGAGCCACAACAAACTCTCCTCTCTTCTCTCTCTCTCTCCTCTCCTCACTCGCTCCCCTCACTCTCCTCGCGCCGCTCTTCTGGAGTTGTTCCTGCTCCGAGCACGCCACTGACACGAGGAAGTGATCCAGAGCTGATAGCTGCCTCTAAACAAAAAACCCAAACGCAGACCTGGCTGCCCCCATGCCTATCGAATTTGTTTGCAAAATCAAATTTGCAGAGGAGGATGAGAAGCAGAAAAGCCAACAGGATGGGGACAAAGAGAGCCTGATCGAGGAGAGCTGCTCCCCTCCGGCCAAAGACCTGGCCAGGTTCGCCAACTCTTGCTCCCTCCATGGGATTAACCACATCTTTGTGTCGGGACGCCTGGGCATCCGGCAGACTCTATGGGCACTGGCCTTTCTCACTTCACTGGCTCTGTTTCTGTACCAGGCAGCCAAATGTGCCATCTCGTACCTGGAGCACCCACACGTGACCGCTCTGAATGAAGAGGCCACTCCGGAGATGGTCTTTCCCGCCGTCACCATCTGTAACATCAACCGCTTTCGATTTTCCGCTCTCACCGATGCCGACATCTACCACCTGGCCAACCTGACCGGACTGCCCCCCAAGAATCGGGACGGACACAAGCCCTCGGACCTGCAGTACCCTGCACCCGACATGCAGGACATCTTCAACCGTACAGGACACCAGCTGGACGAGATGCTCATGAGTTGCAACTTCAGCGGACAGAACTGCTCCGTGGATGACTTCACTGTGGTGAGTCAAAGTTTGGACAAGTTTACTTCACTACTTCACTCCGCTGCTCTGTAAAACTTACTTCAGTTTAGGGAATAATCGCGTTCCTAAAAGTTTCAAAGCTCATTTTGTTCAATAGACAGATGAAAGGGGAGCACTTTGACAGAATGAGGGATTGAAATTCTCTTTGTATTTACACTCTGGGGGCTAAGAGTTCCCATGATGCTTTTGTGCATGCAACACTCACACACATGCGTTTATCCCTGAGCCCCTCTCTGTATATTGCAACAGTTACCCCCTCAGCCTGAACCTTTTCTGTCAAAGAACAAAAAACCCTCTTACACTGAGTAGAGAGCTGTCTGCCTGTGCGTGCATGTGTGTGCTGGCTTGTATACTTTTCTAAGACGCTTTAATGCAACTCCAGGAGCTAAGTGAGCATGGCAACAAAATTGTCATCAAAAATAGCGTAGCCTAGCGAGTGTCTTCTCTTCTTCCTCCCGGCTGCCGGTCTGGTCTGCTCCCTCGCTCCTGACATCGGCTGCTTCTTGCTGAGAGCCACCTTTCAGCAGAGCGGAGTAATGCCTCTCCGACGTTGTATTTCAAGATTAAATATTTAAACAAAAGACATACATGATTTTTGCATTAGCTAGATCGACTAAAAGGGAATAAAAGAATTTCCAAGAGAGAGAGTGAGGACAGGAGGATGTGTCCATTTGTTTGTGTGTATTTTATTTTTTAAAGCGTGGCGCAGGTGAACGAAGAGTTTGTTCCCCTGTTCTTTGCACTATTTATTAACACTGCTGTCCTTGCCAAAGATGGATTTCCCCATCGCTCTTGGAGGAATAGGAATATGCAATTGCTGTAGTGATGACAAAGTGCAGGTGTCAAGTCTTAATAGGGTGTGTTGAACATTGATATGCTCACCTACGAGATGCAGCCTTATCGCGTCGGGGCACTACATCCAACTCTGATGTGCCAAATTAGACCAAAGGAATAATGACACTGTGCCCTCTCATAGCAGTGAGATAGATTATGGCTTTGGCTTTGTCTCCTGCTATAGACATTCATTTAAAGGAGATCTGCCAGGATTATTTTTTTTTTTTCCTTTTGCGCTTATATATGATTTGTTTTTCAGGTACCACTTTGTAATAACTACATCTTAATTAACCTGGATTAATCATGAGGAAAGACTTAATTTATAATGATTTATTTTTAATTTTTTATTAGGAATCAGGTTTAGTAACTACTTAATTAAGGGGTTAGTATTTAAGGTACTGAGTAAGCATGAATCATTCGTAATAAACTATTTGTTCATTATTAATTAAGTTCTTGTTCATGCCTTATTAATTCTAATTAAAGGGTAGTAGTGTTTAAGTATTATTTAATTATATGGACAAACGGGACATACATTCACATAGGGTCAACATTTCATATTTTAATGCAAGTATTACTTAAAAGTATGTTTGTAGATATTCTTTTCTTAGTCAATTACCATTGCAGTGTTTATGTTTTGTGTGTTTTTTTTTTTTTATTAAACTACTAAATTCATGCTTTGTCCACCGTAGACGAGGATAGAGGATGATCTCCTTGCTTTCGTGTAGAGACGTAAAAGTAGGTATGACAGGAGAATGGGTGAATTTTCTTCTCAGTTGTTTTGTCAGGCGCTTGAAAATGTCACGCACCTCAGGGAGTCACAAACTTTGATGAAATTGCAGCAAAAAGTTTATACTGTTTTTCCACTGCATATCCACAATCAATGTTGTCATTTTGAGCCCATTAATTAGCATTGCTTGACTCTCCTGTGTCAGAAAGCATCAGAAAACATGTGTTGTTTTTAAGCAGTTGGCCACATCATATCTCAAAGCAGGACCTCACTGAAGGATTCTCATAGACATTTGCTTTGGACTTGTCAGTTAGATTTGTTACAGGCTACTAGCTACCTTCCACGCATGACAAATTACTTACCCCAAGTCCTGCCTGAGAACACCATGGGGACTGCACAGGAATGACAGCATAATCTTCAATAAGTATGCAAAATTTGCCAGTGCTTATTGAGTTTTTATTGTTGTCATGACGATTAGTTCAAAAAGCCTATTCATTTTCCTATGCATTTTGTTTTCACTTTTCTGTGCAATTTGAAGACTTTACACCATTCTAAATATAGGATAGCTATAATCTATTATAATGTTATAATTTGCACATTTTAAATTGCAATATTCTTCTAAAATGACTTAATCAAAGAAAAAAGTCAGCTGATTTCCTTGTTAGAAAACCCAATGTGGTGCCCAATGGGAACTGATGTCACCATAAACGTCATCACAACAAAGAGTTGGCACCTCCTATAGATAACTGCAGATCATGATAGCGAACAGCAGATTTTATTTTTTTTAACCAAAATGACTACGATTAAGAACATAAAATTGGAGAATAAAATAAGTCGAGAACTGTGGGCACTACTACAGATAGTAGATTTTGTGTAATAGGTCTCCTTAAAATGTTAACAGAGGTTAACTTTAATTTAATTTTCATTCATTTTACAAACTATGAATACAAAAATATCCAATATAATGTTGTGTGAATTTTCAGCTCATTTATGCTACAGTACATAAATACATACATATGCATTACTCTATGCTAAAAAGTTATTTTGAAAAAATGCTAAACAATACTTTCAAAAAAATATTGTTACATTGAGCATGGGTGATTCATTATTCGCCATTAAGTTTTTTTTTAGACATGCTTCTTTGCAACTGCGGTTTCTTGTTCCCATGTTCCCACTGGACTTCCTGAAATATATATATTTTTTGCAAGCTCCAGGTGTCTTCTTTTGATACAATATTCAAAATCTCTATTGTCAGCATTCTACTCTAAAAAGTTCTATATAAATACTCCAAAACAATACAATTTCCACCCATTATTATAAATACCCTTTCTAAATAACTGTTTTGTTCCTGTGAAAATTAATTGCCTTGTGCATATTCAGTTCCCATTTCCATATCTCAGAAGACAAAGCAGAACGGTCTCTTCTAAATCTAAATGATGGCTTGAACATACAGCGGCACGTAGCTGTGGAATTTGTTTTTCCTCTTCCCCTACATGATTATTTGACGTCGGTAATAAGGCCATTCCTTATAATTAAAGATTACATTATTGACTCACAGAAGATAAAGCTGATTCAACAAGCCGTGAATAAATAGATTAATATTTTTCTCGCGGTCTAACACTGAATAATTGTCACTCTATTGTGTTGGGAGCGTAGCAGTGAGACCCATTGCTTTTTCTTTTCCACGCAAACACTGGTTTACTCTGGCTCTCAGCATTATCAGATTTGGCTCAGAGCAAGGACAACATCCCTTCTGCATATATTCATGGGGGGCTGGCTAAAATGCTATAGGGGTGGCATGTGAGGTGAGCTATAAAAACACAGGTTAACGCGGACGCTTGTGCAGTACAGCAGCTGCAGCCCGATTGCCATGTTTTATAGTTAATTGAATGCTTAGTATATGAGTCCTCTCCTCGCCCCTGCGTCCTCTCCTTCCATCACGAGACCTAAAAAACACATTAATGTAAATCAATACGGGAGGGACAAACAGCACAGCACACAGTCATTATGGCCACATGTCAGCCAGTGTGTGCTCTGGGAACATAGAGATATCAGCAGCACGGGGAATATTTACACAGGGGGGCATGACATAAAACGTTATGTTCTCTTATGTTCTGTTATATTCTGTAAACATAGACATGGTGACATTGAAGAAATCCACACTGATTTTGGTGGCTTTGCTGGATTAAAATTTCCTAGATAATAATTCTTGTCGCCTTTGGTATAAAATGATAAGAAAAAAGCAGTATAATTTAGAATCTACAGATATATTCTAACTTCTCTATCTGTAAATGCCATTGAATCGACAGTATTATTCTGATAAAAACAGGCTTGAGCAGTAATCTTTATTTTGAATTTTATGATACCACAAAGACGGCAGACGCAGTTCTCATCTCTAAGCTGTGAATCAGTTTCACTTTTCATAAAAAAGTAATAAGCCTACTCCATCCACCAGTAATAATAGTCTATTCATGGGTCTCAACTTCCTTTTTATATGGATTCAATTTTGAAGACTTTGCTATTTAAAAGATATATTTTGTTTTGAATTGTTAATTGCTATGACAACGGTGCAAATTTTTCATCAGTCTGAAACCCTTGGATATCCACAGTGGGCAAACAGGCAAACAGGAGCCCCCTAAAGTAGCCCCCTAGTGCTGCTCAAGAACAGATAAACAAACCTGAAATATGCTAATTCGAGTCTAAAAGTCAATTTATCTTCACTGATAATTCCTATTACAGCCGATTAGGTAATTAGACTCTTCTCCTCCCTCCAAGTCTACTGGGGAATAACATCATTTGTGCAGTAAATGATTCCAAATGAGAAAACCACTGGAACATCACCTCACCTTTTCTTCTGTGACTGTTTTTGTTGTTTTTCCTTCCAAAATCCAGCTTCACTCAAAGACTGACAAAATATTTCTTTTTATCCTGTGAGATGGAGGAGCGGCGCTGGGTCCTTGTCAGTCTCTCCCCTTTTACCAGCTGTGGGTTTGTAAGATGTCTGTCCTCACTGATGTAGAGGCAAAAACACGGGTTTGATTGTTCTGATACCACCAAAGACGCCCCAACAACACATGCGGAAAAATAACTGCCTTTTTAGATACATTTGTGTGTGTGCTAGCATCCTTTTTACAATAGAATGTAATGGGGAAATACCTTGGAAGTACTATGAATAAGTATTGGCAACTTGCTGTGAAAAATATTGAGCGATCCATTCTTAAAATCTAATGAGCTAGTGTGTTTTGTGTGGGTTCTGTGCTGGAGTGTATCATCATCAGGTTAAACCCAAAGCAAACAGGATAACCACATCACTTATTGTCTACTGATTTATTGGATCTATTTGTCATTTAGCCAATTGTTTTATTTTTTAAATAGTTATTTTCTGACAAACATAGCCATATGCAGCATATTCTGGGGT